AACGTCTCGAATTCATCGGCCAAGCAAGCCTCCGAGGCTTAATACTATTAAATCGCAGAGATCGCTATTTACGGCTCGATTCTTCCAAACAGTGTCGGAAAGTAATTATTTTTATGATGATTAGTAGTTGATTAATAGCTATCTAACATCTCAAGGATGAATAAAACTTTATAAAACATAAACAGCTTTTCATCGTACTGCTAATACCTATGTCATCGATAAATAAAACGTAAACGATAGGAAACATCTAGTTAATGTACATTTTAATAGGAGCATTAATCTAAAATCATCTAAAAACAAGATGTTAATGGAGTATTTATGATTAAAGTAATTACTGGTAATATCAATTAAAATAGTCAATTACTTATTATAGTAAATTAAAATAATCACTTATTAATCAAATCTATTTGTAAAATCATTAATAATTAATCGATAATTACATAATGAAAAATTATTGACTTATTTTATTGCACATTGATATTTTATAATAAAAAATATTTTCATATGTATTAAGTTTTTTCATCGAAAAATTATTCTTATATGCAACCGTGACAGGAACTCATCAGAATAATGTGAATTATTAATATGAATTTAAAATGAGAGTTATATTGAGTTAAGTTTAGCTCCCTCTCTCTCTCTCTCTCTCTCTCTCTCTCTCTCTCTCTCTCTAACACGACTAAAATAAATTGTACGATATGACTAATGTAAAATTTTTTATTATAACTAATAAGTGTAAATTTTATTACAAAATTATTAATCTTTAAAAAATGTTCTATTAATTTAAAGTTTTAGACGATTGATAAAAAGCTCATTCTTTTACTAACGAACGATTAATGAGAAACGATTTAATCGTGATGTATGATTATCGCAATTTTGATTATTTTCATTGTCATTAATTATCATTGTTTAATGATCATACTACGATTATACTATTGATTGTTCAATGGTCATAATCATTAATTGAACGACTTAACAAATTTGTACTTGTGATAGTGATTGATTTTATTACACTTTGCCTAACTTTGTGTCTCTAGATAAGGTAAAGAAGATAAACGGGGTGTGGTAAAGACAGGAGAATCGGAGGCTTGTGTAAGGGCGGAGGAAATGTGCAATGGTGAATGTGGTGGTTGATAAGTTGCGCGAGACACAGTCAGCCGCACGAGGCAGTGGATTCGTGAATCTCTCGACTCCTCCGCAAACGATCATCCCCGTGGCGAGCGAAGGGTGGATTTTGGATATCCTGCTGAGGGATTTTAAGAAAAACGTGACTTCTACGGGAAGAAGGCACCACGCGAAAGGGTGGACCAAGAAGGCGGCGCGGGGAACAGAAGTGAAAAATCGGAAGCAATAAAAGGTTCTCGTGACGGAGGGGCTTCGCACGGCCCTGGCGCGACTGCGGCACTGTACCCCTGCGGGGGGCTCGCTGCCGAACACACCGAATCCACCGTCCACCCCGGAACACAAGTCCCAAGTAAGTGCGAGTAAAAAATTGCTCGATTGCCTAATAATTGCTCGATTAAATTTAATTTTTCGTATAAAAAATGATCTAAAAACACATACACTTATAAGAAGAACAATAATACCTCAATCCCTTGGTTGATGAACCTTTATCTTTTTTTTTTAAGTGATAACCTTAATCATCTTTTTCACTAGTGATGATATCAATTTGATACGTACGTATCCTTAAATGGGGAGGTATATTTCACTAATATTAATATATACTATTACGATTATTTGTTATTTGCTGAATGATTTTATTATATAATATTCATAATATTTTATAAACAAAATATAATTTTTATTAATATATGTAATTACAATAATATATTTTATTTGTAAATATGAAAAGTATTTTTTTGCAATATTTTTTAGAATATCAACCATTTTTATATCACTATTATATTCTGTAGTAAAAAAAAGAATGAGAAATAGTGATGTAAAAATTAAATACTGATATATCCTATTGAATGCAAAAATATAGTAGTATCACGAATAGAGAAAAATTATAAGTTTTCTATCATCAGAACGTTGATCGCAAACACGGATTCCGCGGTATCGGTTACAACTTTTAATTCAACGACAGAAGTGGAAAAAATATACGTAATATATGTTAAAACTTTCGCAGTCGGTTAAGAACTAATGAACTGCATATCACTACTGTAACTGTTGGCATTTTTTTTTTACTACACCCGCAGCATTTCTCGCTCTACGCGGTTCACTAGTGATACAGAGTCAAATCGTCGTCACGTCACTACTAATGATACGAAGTCAATTTGATGTACGTCATCAGTTGAAGGTTAAATAATATTTTATTATTTTTAATTTCCATGTGCGTCAAAATCGTTCCACTTCTGTAGTTAGTTTCGAAGTAAACAACATTTATATTAATGTATGCATTCAGTAAATAATAAATTAAATTTAAATCAAATTTAATACATTTTCTTGAATTAGATCGTTTTACTTCATTACTTAATTAATGACATATTGTGAGTAGAAGCAGTAGCAAATGTGATAAGCTATAGAAACTATTAAAAATAATTCTAATCATAATTTAATATTATGTGTGAATTTAACAGTGTATTACTTGTTGACAAACAAAATGTTGATCAAAATTTATTGTTTAGTATAACTATAATCGTGTTCTTGAGTGAATTCTGATAAAGAGAATCATGATGGAAAGAAATAATTAAAAATTCTTCTTGTATTGTTACATTGACGAATTATCGAATTTCGACGAATCGTCCCGATGAATTGCGTGACGAATGATGGGTGACGAATGAGGGTCACGCGCGAATTTGTAATCCGAACTGTTGCAGGGGTGTTCGAGGAATCGCGAATCGGCAATCAGATGTGGTAGTTTGGGGAATAGCGCGTGTGATACAGGGGATACATCGCAGTCGCAGCCATCGCGGGGACAGCATGGAGCCGACGGCGGCGGCGGCGGCGGCGGCGGCGGCGA